GATACGCCAATTTTTCATCATGTTTTATTACTGTTATTTATAATATTTTTATCCATAATAATGCTTTTTGGAGTAATTCTAATGTCTTTTCTCTCATAATTTGCAAGGTACACACCAAGAGGGAGAATTCCGGCAGCTGGAAATCTGGACCTGGAATAGCTACATCAGGCCACCTATTCTGCACAACACCAAATGAGCTGAAACTTCACGGAGATTTTTATGGAATAAATAAGAAATACTGGAGCAAATAACTACCATAGGGGGCTACCAGGTGGGCACAACCCACCTGGGCGCGCCAGGGGCCCCTGGCACGCCCTGTGGGGTTCTGGCCTCCTCGGCCCACCTCTGGTGCCCATCTTCTGGTATATAGGTTGTTTTGACCTAGAAAAAAAAGGAGAGGACTTTCGGGACGGAGCACCGCCGCCCCGAGGCTGAACTTGGGCAGGAGCACTTTTGCCCTCCGGCGGAGCGATTCCGCCGGGGGAACTTCCCTCCCGGAGGTGGAAATCATCGTCATCATCATCAACAACAACTCGCCCATCTTGGGGGGGCGGGGGCAATCTCCATCAACATCTTCAATAGAACCATCTCATCTCAAACCCTAGTTCATCTCTTGTGTTCAGTCTTGTTACTGGAACTATAGATTTGTGCTTGTGGGTGACTAGTAGTGTTGATTACATCTTGTAGTTGATTACTATATGGTTTATTTGGTGGAATGTTATATGTTCAGATCCAATATGCTATTTAATACCCCTCTGATCATGAGCATGTTTATCATTCATGAGTAGTTACTTTTGTTCTTGAGGTCACGGGAGAAATCATGTTGCAAGTAATCATTTGAACTTGATACGTGTTCGATATTTTGATAGTACGTATGTTGTGATTCCCTTAGTGGTGTCATGTGAATGTCGACTACATGATACTTCATCATATTTGCGCCTAAGGTAATGCATTGTGGAGTAACAATTAGATGGTGGGTTGCGAGAGTGACAGAAACTTAAACCCCAATTTATGCGCTATTCCGTAAGGGACCGATTGGATCCTAGAGTTTAATGCTATGGTTAGAATTTATTCTTAATATTTTTCTCGTAGTGGCGGATGCTTGCGGAAGGGTTAATCATAAGTAGGAGGTTTGTTCAAGTAAGAGCAGGACCTAAGCACCGGTCCACCCACATATCAAATTATCAAAGTAGCGAACATAAATCGAACCAACGTGATGAAAGTGACTAGATGAAATTCCCGTGTACCCTCAAGAACGCTTTGCTTATCATAAGAGACTGTTTTGGCCTGTCCTTTGCCTCAAAAGGATTGGGCTACCTTGCTACATATTTGTTACTACTATCGTTACTTGCTCGTTACAAATTATCTTGCTATCAAACTACTCCGCTACTTACAATTTCAGCACTTGCAAACATTACCTTGCTGAAAACCACTTGTCATCTCCTTCTGCTCCTCGTTGGGTTCGACACTCTTACTTATCAAAAAGAGCTACAATTGACCCCCTATACTTTTGGGTCATCATTTACCCAGGTTCGGGCCCTCTTGATGGAGGTAATACCCTACTTTCTGCTTGATTGACTTTGATGAGTATAGGGGTTACAAGAGTTGGTCTACCTCGAGATCGTGATGGCTAAACCCTAGATGTCTAGCCTGTATGATTATGATGATTTCTATGGACTAAACCCTCCGGTTTATATATACATCGGAGGGGCCTAGGGTTGTACAGAGTCGGTTTACAGATAAAGGAAACCACACATCCGATCGTCAAGCTTGCCATCCACGCAAAGGAGAGTCCCATCCGGACACAGGGAAAGGCTTTCTATCTTGTATCTTCACGGCCCATCAGTCCGGCCCATGTTACATGACTCGGACACCCGAGGACCCCATAATCCAGGAATCGCTCAACGGACTCGGGCAACGGCTAAGACCGCGTGCCACGCTCGCTATGGCCAGATGGGGCAACAGAGAGGCAGCACGAGGGTCGGTGCAGCCACGGGGACTACCTGGATATGACGGCTTCGGGGCGGCAGTAGACCGCGGGCCGCGACTCTACGTCCCGAATGGGTGACGTAGCGGCAGCACGCGGGTCGATGCGGCAGTGGGGAGAACAACAGGGCGGCGACGTTGCGGCCCGATGAGGCGACGCAGCAGCAGCCCGATGCTTGATCGGTGGAGGGGCCCGATGTACTCGGGGACAATCTTCATGGGATCTTTGGAGGCGCGTGCAACCGACGGGCCAAGTGGGTCGGACGATGGGTGATCAAATCGATCGCGCGCGAGGTCGGCGATGCCGCTCGGTGGAGACGGGGTGGCGGCTGAGTCCAAGATGAAGCCGACGAGTCCGACGCAGCCAGTCCAAGGTAGCCGGCAAGGCCGACACAGTCGGCGACTGGGCCGCAACCAGTGCGCCCGTGGTAACCAGCGACAGGGCCATAGTCAGCGATGTGGCCGCACAGAAACGGCGGAGGCGATGGATGATGAAGAAGTCTCGGTCGGAGCAGGGCGGCGATGGCTGGCGTAGGGCGATGGGCGATGGGTGAGCCGATGTGCGGACGGGGGTAGACTGTGACGGGCTGCCTCGACGCGCGTGGCCGCTGGGTCGGAGGAGAGGCCGGTCGGTCGCGCCGGTATCGGAGAAGAGGTGCGCGGGGGTCAACGGCGGCGGCGAGCGATGCAAACCGATCTTAGATTGGAAAACCAAAAGGAAAACGCCGATCAAAACGACCGGCGAGAGAGAAAATCTGGATCAAAGGATATGTAAGAAGTGTCCCTGGGGCAGCTGGTCAACACGACCGGCGGACGAACCCTAGGTACGGACGGCGCGGCCCCCGGCGGCAGTCATGACGGCCGACCGCCCCGAGGGCGGCACGCAAGGCGGAAGCGGTGGGGGCGGCTACGGTTTGGATCGGTTAGGCTGATACCATATTAGAAGGGGAAGAAGGGATTGGCGGAATATGATGGATGTATTATTGAGCCTCGAGGGCGAGTATATATTGAGTACAAGACTTGAAGGGCAAGACGCCTCTCCTAGAGATAAGGCAGGAGACGGAATACAAATCCTAGACTACCAAATACATGCATCCCAAATATATCTCCAAATATATCATTTTAATTACAACGGAGAGGCTCTTGCTTCTTACTTCCTTTGACCAGGCAAAGAGAGAGTGTACATTCATCGTCTCAGCGGTCAGATCCCTACCCTACCTACTAGCATAGTAACGTGAAAATGTAGTGCCCTAAACTCTTATACTCAGGGCCGGGCCCATAGCTGTTCAGACTGTGCGGCCTGCACAGGGCCCATAAATTTTTGGGGCCGCAAATTTTTATACAGGCCTACGTATATTTCTTCCTGGGCGCTGGGCCGCTGGCGCGTCCCGACTCCGCGTGAGTCGTGCGTCCCAGGCCGCCTGCTCGATGCCTTGATCACTAACAAAATCGATCGCATCCACGCAACCGCCGCCGCGCGCCGCCCCATCCTTCAGTTCGAGGACCTGCTATGCGACCCCGCCGTCAGGGAGCTGGTGCGATTCATCAGGTTGTCTCTCCTCCGGAGGAGGAGGATGGCGTTGCCCACAACATCATCAATCTCCACATCTTGGCGCACCCTATGCACTGGAAGCCAACACGATGGGCCACTTGGATCCCCTCCTCCCGGTCAGTTATCCTTGACACTGATCCAGCCTTGTTGATAACGTACGAGTACCACTGATTCAGTCTTGTTAATGTCCATAATTCATTGTATTTTCTATCAGAATTTCATTCATCTTCCTAGTTGTTATGCAAATTTCAGTGTATGTCAGTATGTGCTGTCCCAATTTCAGTTTATGGTTGTACAAACATTTAGTGTTGATGTTGTCCGATTTTCAGTGCAGAGGCTGTCTACGGTTTTGCTTATATTCTGTCCAAATTTCAATGTACTTGCCCTGCTATTGTACCGCCATTTATCAAGTGGTTTGCTGGCTTTTATCAAGCCTACCAGTGCTGGCTTTAACCCTCTTCTCTTCTATCTTCGTGGGCACCTACAAGCTGGCCTTGTTGCTTCAAGAATGAATCTGTAGATATCGATATCAATGAGAACAAAATGTTTCAAGCATTTATTGTTTCTACTTAAACACTACAATATATGGTTTGGAATTTAAACCTTTTCCGTGCTTTTCTTCAGATTACTCCTGCCCATTTTTCTCTTTGTAGCTCGGCCATTGGAAGATAGGCCCCATTTTAGAGTTTCGCACAGGGCCCCGGATTTTGCCGGCCCGGCCCTGCTTATACTTGTGCATGCGTTACATCTCTTGATTACAAACAAGAGAGAGAAAGAAAGATATATCGTTTACAAAGAAGAGAAAGAAATATATATCCTACAGGAGATAGATGTCTGTTGTTTAGTGCCTTTTCTGTTTTCATTCACCTCCCCGAACCTTCCTATTTCTGTTTTCATTCCATTATCAAATGTCAACATATCTGTTTGTGGCCCGGTCTTGGTTTTGTTTTTGTTGTTTTCTCCCGATGCTGGAGCTATAGATGATATCATCTGTGTATTACAAAAGAGGGTCTTGGAGATGATATCTCAAATTAATACCCGGCCTCATCTCAATTCTCACCTAATTGTTTTGGTGCATTGAAACAGTATGATCAGTCAAATCGATCATACATTTTCATTCGGGTGTGTCTGAAGCGTGGGTCCTAAGGCCCTCCTCATAGATAGGGTAACGTGCTTTTTAGTTTGCAAGGTTCTCTCGGAAAAGAGATGCATCATATGGTAACATAGATAATTAAACTAACTACAATTGACATAACATAATAGAACATCATTTAGGATCTCAAAATACAACACCAACTTAAAATCTAAAGCTCATGTAAAATAGATTACCCAGCAAGACCATGCTTCCAACTAGAATACACTGGTACACACAATTTCATGTGAACAGACGAATGATTAGTGTACAAGTGGCCAACGCACATGCAGAAAACATCGCATGCATAGGTTGGGCTAATAGACAGAACTATTCTTCTCCACCCATGAAATCATCCCCGATAGTGAAATCCTACAGTGAGAAAGAAAACTTTGATTTAAATACACATGTCCAACTCAACAATTCATATCCAATGCCTAGATAAAAGCCAACGAGAAAAGTACTTACTGCATCCAGCGGGTTGAGAAAAAAATCATCCCATGAGAAGTCATTGATGTCATTAAATTGATCATTAAGTGCATGCTGACCAATAGTACCCACTTGCATAGGGTGATTGCTAACTGCATCCCGGCCATCAAGCTTGTCAGTCATTGCGACGACATTTTCTGTCTGATGGTTGGAAAGTGTAGAAATAGTTCTTCCACTGTTAACCATATCTGTATGTGTCATTGAGATTCTACCGTTACCAGGTGCGGTGTTTTCATTCAACATCGTTCCGATTGAGCTTGTGTTTTTTTCTATGTTGAATGGTGACATCCGCTCACTCAAGCCATCTACTGACATACTGCTGCTCCCTCCCTTAACCATCTCAGATGATGACACTGGACGACTGCCGCAGGCATTCAACATCCCTACGAAGCTTTGGTTGCTAGGTGCATCTTTTGGAACAATCTGCTCATTGAAGCCTGCCATAGATGTAGCATTTCTCATGACCGTTCCCATTTCATTTTGCACCTCTACGTTCACATTTGATGAGATGGGAGATATTATACCTCTATGAAGAACACCAGTCAACGTTGCATGTGTTGCAGAATTGTATGAAAGGTCTGGAAACTTGCCTTTGTTTGTCTCCACCAGCTTACCACGCATGCGGCCAGCATAGGAATCGCCAAAACTATATGAAGGAAATTCATCTAAAGTTGTTTCATTGGGTATGTTGTTGTATAGGTTGGCAGGAGGGTCAATGGAGCCAGCGAATCTTCCTGCATCCGACAGTTTTGGTGCGACATACTTATACATTCTACCATCATGGATGAATGACCCCGTGCATGAGTTTCTATGTGTGTTCGTCGGCTGAGCTAAGTGACCCATCGCAGAAAAATTGTTTGGACTTAAAAGACCAGAGGACATACACCATCTTTCATGTTCATGGTTACGCATGAAACTCCCCTGGTTGTTCATGTTGTTGTAGGATGAGTTATGTCTTTCAGAGGCATCATCACCAACTGGATTTGGTTTGACTCTTCTCAAGTGCAACCTATACTTCTGAAATAAAAAGATAGACAAATAAACCAGGTATGAGAAGCACGCTCATGGGAAAAAGTAAGGATAGACATGTGGCAGCAAAAAGTGTAGTGAATCCATTGTATAAGAAGACCCATTATAGGGACAAAAATACTTGAAAGTGTAGAGCATCCACGGTATATGAAGACTCATTATAGGGACAAAATTAATTGTAATTACACACATCTTCATGTTAGGTGCATTACTAAACCTTACATTGATAGTTTCCCCGCAAAGTAAAAGCTTGCAGTTATCTATGAAAAAATGTTAGAATGGAAAAAAATAGGAACACAGGGAGTGAATATAATTAAGGATAATGGTCAAAAATAAACCTGTAGATGACTTGCGATACTGTCTCTGGTGAGGTAATCCACTTTCATTAGTTCCAATATCTTTTTTGGAACGGCCTCTAAAAATAAAGTAATAAAATTTCTTAGTGGAAACAATCACAGAAATATAAGAATTGTATCAATGAATGAGGCAAAAAATATGAAGTCTCACTGTCTAGGCCGATCTGGTCAATAGCTTCTAGAAATTTGTTCTGAAGTTCAGTTGTCCATACCACCCTTGACTTCTTACAGGTGGTGGATACGTGTGTGATCTCTTGTTTCTCGTTAGAATCATATCTTTCATTGCCCTTATTCTCTGAGTCCTTGCTCGTGGCAGCAGTCCTTGGCTGCACTCTATCATCATCATCATTGTTGTTGTTGTTGTTGTTGATGATGTGTGTTTTTGCTTCAAAATTTCTCCTCCTTTCAACATGTTTCCATATATTTTTTAGCTCGTTGGTGCACACTGGCTTCACCAAATAGTCGCACGCCCCATGTGTTATGCCCTTCATCACAGGCTTCTTGTCGCAATCCACAGATAGCACTGCATGACATATGGCCCGTAACTTAGCTTTGGAATTTGTAACTTCACACAAAAATCTATGAACTGGACATGATGTTTTCCCCAATGCTTAAAGGAAGAAAAAGTTTAAATGTCCTTGAAATGTGCTGTGCAATCGGAGAAGCAAATGTATTACACATGATTTTCAAACAATATCATGGCTATCATAAATTTGGTGTTTCAAAGCACATTAAATGGGACAAATTTCACAGATTCAATAGAAATAAACAGAAACAATGGCTAAAAAGTAACTATAGCACAATGTCAAGAAATCTGCAAGATTGTGGATATTATCGTTAGCCTACTCAATGTATCTACTTAAAAGTGGCACTCCTATTTTATATGCTATATATTCTCAAGAGTAAATTGTTTTCAAGACTAATAATCTCAAGGAGATTGAAGAAGAGTAATCCTTTACCCGTAAAAAAGATGAGTAATCCTTTAATAATGTGAACACAATATAGGTATTTTCCGAATTGTATATTTCATGCCAACCTAGCAAATGGGTGCGGCGCAATTGTATACTTTCTCCAAAATTAATTAATTAATATCCTGGATCTCCAAAATTCAGGAGTAAAAGTACGCTCTATTTTTTTGTGGGGTAGTAAAAGTACGCTCTTGAAGACAATTGCCAGCTCATGGCATGTTAAAATGAAAGAAAAAAAGACTTTAAGTTGAGCAGTGAGAGTACTGATGACGGGCAGATCCATCTCAAGGTGGATGAGCTCAAGGAGCTTGAAGCCATCCATGCCTGGCATGTGCACGTCGGTGATCACCAGGTCGAACTCTGCCTTCCCCGCCCTTAGCATCTTCAACGCCGTCTTCGCGTCTATCATGGTCGTTGCTGTACAGCAGCAAGGATTACTCACAGAAAGAAGAAAGGATCACCTAGCTCCGATTCTAATTTCTAATGGACTAGGGCGGAGAGACTCACGGTTGTATTTGCGGCAACGCAGAATGACCTCCAGTACCTTGAGGCAGACGCTGTCGTCGTCCACAGCGAGCACGCGCAGCCCCTCCGGGAACTTGTCCCCTGCCGGAGCCTCCATCCTCTGCCTTTCGTCCCCACCCATAGCCGCCATGTTCTCTGAAATTCTTCTCACCTGGCAAGGCAAACGCCATCAAGAAACAACTAATTAGAAAACAAGGGGGGTAACCAACACAAACCCGGCAACAATCAAGAGCACAACCCAAAACCTCCTACAATGGCTTCCTGGCGACAGGAAGAACAGAACAATGTGGATTTGAGAGGAGAAGGACCGCGGTGGTGAGAGGGCTGGAGGATGCAGAGGGCTATTTATAGGAGGAGACGGGGGTCGAAGTCTTACGGCCCAGAGGTGGAAGGCGCTCTGCTCCCCATGCGTGTGTGCACTGCAGACGTTCGGCATTTTCGGTTGAATGGAGATGGAGAGAGAGAAAGATGTATCGTTTACAAAGAAGAGAAAGAGATATATATATATCCTACAGGAGATAGATGTCTGTTGTTTAGTGCCGTTTCTGTTTTCATTCCCCTTCCACGAACCTTCCTATTTTTCTTTCCGTCCATTGTCAAATATCAGCATATCTGTTCGTGGGCCGGTCTTGGTTTTCGTTTTGATATTTTCTCCCGATGCTGGAGCTATAGATGATATCATCCGTATTACAAAAGAGGGTCTTGGAGATGATATCTCAAATTAATACCCGGCCTCATCTCAACTCTCACCTAATTTTTTTGGTGCGTTGAAACAGTATGATCAGTATTATCAAATCGATCATATATTTTCAGTTATCTGAATTACTGCATTATGTGATATATAAACTAAGAGATGATCCATTCGACGAGCGAGGTCATTTGGATGACGGGCCTAGTGTGAGCCCAGATATTTCTTTGAATGAGGTGATTAGGCTCCTTCCATGAGAGGAGAGCAAAACCACGGGTCTGTTCCTGTTTTATATCTTTTCTTTTGTTGTTTTGCCACCAAATGCTCTGAATTACGAAGGTGAGGCTCTTCCTTTTTTCAGTTTAATGGAGATGGAGAGAGCCTCTTTTTACTTGCTTTGACCGGGCAAGGAGAGGGTGTGCATTCGTATACTTGTGATTGAATGGCACCGTGAAAATGTGGAGGCCTAAATGCATACGTTACATGTCTTGATTACAAAGAAGCGAGAGAGAAAGAAAGATGTATCATTTACAAAGAAGAGAAGGAAATATATATCGTGCAGGAGATAGATGTCTGTAGTTTAGTGCCTTTTTTGTTTTCATTCTCCTCCATGAAGCTTCCTATTTTTGTGTCCATTCCATTGTCAAATGTCAACATATCTCTTCGTGGCCTGGCACTTGACCCGGTCCACTTTCTTGGTTTTCGTTTTGTTGTTTTCTCACCCCAGATGTTCGAGCTACAGATGATATCATATGTATTCCAAAAGAGGGTCCTCGAGATGATTTGGTGCGTTCAAAGAGTATGATCAGTATCTCAAATCCATTATCCATTTTCAGTTATCCGACATTGCTGCATCATGTGATATACAAACTAAGAGATGATCCATTGAACGAGTGAGGTGATTTGGCGGCCGGGCCTACTGAACCCAGAATTTTGTTCAATAGAAATCCTATTGAGAAGTTCTTATGAAATCTGAAACTAATTCCACCTGTATGTATATATTACATATGTGTAAAAATGTATTAAAATATACTTTACATGAGGATAAGTACATCATGTACTGTTTGCTTGTTTTTTTGCATGGTATTACGTGTCTCATTCATATCGTAACGATCAAAGTACAAGTCATGTCATGACCGACATGACAAAACTGAAAATATAGTAGAACATCTCTGAGTTTGACAGCAATGCCTGTCACCTGCCTTCGGCACCACCACAGCAGGCACCAAAGAAAAGAATGATAGGCCACCTCCTCACCCGAGCTCGACGCGGCTCCATCGCTGATAAGCAACTTTGCGGAGCTCCAGTGGCTCACCAAAGTGAAGCCATTAACGTTGAACGAATCAGACCAGGGCAACACCCCGGGCACGCCATTGAACTACAGATCTAGCACCCCACCACGACTAAGACGCCGAAGGAGGAAACCATACCTGCCATCCACGAACCACGAACTCAGACATGTTCCGTCTTCCATATGTCGTCGATACAGACCACGATCTGCATCCGCTCCTAGACTACCTCCCAAGCTCTGCGCCGATGCTGGAGCAAACACCGTCGCAACAGCGGAGCCCGAGGACACAAGTCAACCACAAGGATGCCGCCACCGCCACGCCATCCTTGCTTGAACAGACTGGTTTCTAAATCCATCTCCAACAATAGGGCCGATGGCCTTGTCAGAGAAGGATCTGAAGAATCTTTATTTAACACCGTCATCTTCACCGCCGAAGCCAAGACGATGAACAGTCTAAAAACCTAGACTATGAGGAAGGAAAAACGATCCACACGTGTGGATCCGGCGACCACCCGCACCACCAACGACCGAGGTCGCCGGCGGAGGGGAGCCACCAGAGGACGGCGCTGGAATATTGGTGTCTCCCAGCGGCAGTTAGGGTTGGAGCCGCCAGGGACGAGAGCGAGAGGACACGTTTCCCGGCCATACGTAGGCGTATGTATCTCGTATGTACTGTTTGTTATTTCTAAATCCAGGTAGTGGCTCTTTTGTGTGTGTGTGTGTATGTATGTATGTATGTATGTATGTATAAAAACATGAATTACATGGAAAATTATAGCTGCAAAGATCATGTCTGTATGTGCATGTCCAAAAAAAAGGCATACTTTACACCTCAAATATTTATTTTCAGAATTTTCAAAAACCAAGAATCATTGGAGTCATGGATCCAAAAATAAAACTTTGTCATGAATCCTTTTAAAAACCAAAGCACGAAAGAAAATTTGACAATGCTTACTGATTGCCAAAGAATCACATGAAAACAGAGAAGCGATGAAGAATTTGGATTTTAAATTTAAAGTGTTGGCCAAAAGCCTATGGTTATGATTTAGGCTAGTGGACCTCCCTACAACTTAAACTACATCGTTGTAGAAGAAGCCAGCCCGTGGCAGCCCTTTCTTGCAAGAGTTACCTTTTACTAGTTTCATATTCTTTTTTGCAAAATATTAGAGAGCAATGATGTTCTATTGAATTTACCTGGAGCTTACATTATGCATGCACATGAATAATTATGTTGTGAGACACAAACATATGATAAATCAAATCCTATTGATATTATTTAAGCGATGTAGCAGTGCTGCTTACTACCATGGTGGAAAATGCTTATGAAAACCTAAATAATGTAAATAAATGGAGCCAACATGCCACGTGACAATTGGAGATGAAAGGAGTCAACATGCCACATGACAATTGGAGCTGAAAGGAGTCAACGCACCACTCAACAAACAATGATATTGGGAGTAAACATGCCACGTGATAAATGGAGATGAAATTATTCAAAATAACACATGACAAATAGAGATTAAATGAGTCAACGCACTGTTGGGGAACGTAGTAATTTCAAAAAAATTCCTACGCACACGCAAGATCATGGTGATGGCATAGCAACGAGAGGGGAGAGTGTTCGTCCACGTACCTTCGTAGACCGTAAGCGGAAGCGTTAGCACAACGTACGGGGCCTCCGAGTTCAGCACACGTTCAGCTCGATGACGATCTCCGTGCTCCGATCCAGCAAAGCTCCGGAGATGAGTTCCGTCAGCACGACGGTGTGGTGACGATGATGGTGTTCTACCGGCGTAGGACTTCGCCTAAACTCCGCGACGATATGACCGAGGTGGAATATGGTGGAAGGGGGCACCGCACACGGCTAAGGAACGATCCGTAGATCAACTTGTGTGCGTATGGGGTGCCCCCCGCCCCCGTATATAAAGGAGCCAGGGGGGAGGAGGCGGCCGGCCAAGGAGGGCGCGCCAAGGGGGGAGTCCTACTCCCACCGGGAGTAGGACTCCCTTCTTTCCAAGTAGGAGTAGGAGAAGGGGGGGAAGAGGAGGAAGAGGGGAAGGAAAGGGGGGGCGCCGCCCCCCTTCACTTGTCCTATTCGGACTAGGAAGGGGAGGGGCGCGCGGCCCCCTTCCGGTAACCGCCCGGTACTCCAGTAAAATGCCGATTTCACCCGGAACGATTCCGATATCCAAATATAGGCTTCCAATATATCGATCTTTATGTCTCGACCATTTCGAGACTCCTCGTCATGTCCGTGATCATATCCGGGACTCTGAACAAACTTCGGTACATCAAAACTTATAAACTCATAATAAAACTGTCATCGTAACGTTAAGCGTGCGGACCCTACGGGTTCGAGAACTATGTAGACATGACCTAGAACTATTCTCGGTCAATAACCAATAGCGGGACCTGGATGCCCATATTGGTTCCTACATATTCTACGAAGATCTTTATCGGTCAAACCGCATAACAACATACGTTGTTCCCTTTGTCATCGGTATGTTACTTGCCCGAGATTTGATCATCGGTATCCAATACCTAGTTCAATCTCGTTATCGGCAAGTCTCTTTACTCGTTCTGTAATGCATCATCCCGTAACCAACTCATTGGTCACATTGCTTGCAAGGCTTATAATGATGTGCATTACCGAGAGGGCCCAGAGATACCTCTCCGACGATCGGAGTGAAAAAACCTAATCTCGAAATACGCCAACTCAACATGTACCTTCGGAGACACCTGTAGTACTCCTTTATAATCACCCAATTACGTTGTGACGTTTGGTAGTACCCAAAGTGTTCCTCCGGTAAACGGGAGTTGCATAGTTCTCATAGTTAGAGGAACATGTATAAGTCATGAAGAAAGCAATAGCAGTATACTAAACGATCAAGTGCTAGGCTAACAGAATGGGTCATGTCAATCACATCATTCTTCTAATGATGTGATCCCATTAATCAAATGACAACACATGTCTATGGTTAGGAAACATAACCATCTTTGATTAATGAGCTAGTCAAGTAGAGGCATACTAGTGACTATAGGTTTGTCTATGTATTCACACATGTATCATGTTTCCGGTTAATACAATTCTAGCATGAATAATAAACATTTATCATGATATGAGGAAATAAATAATAACTTTATTATTGCC